TATATATATATATACACACACACACGTACGTTTAAGATGTGCTGTGAAAATGACCTTGAACAGTAGCTCAGCCAAATTAAACTCTGGTATGGATTTTGATTTTCTTCGGGAGCCTGTTCCCAGAAGTTTTTGTTCACATCTCATATATCCCTGCGTGTACAACCCCAAAATGAAAATGATCTTTTTGTGATTGTCATACTGGCAATTAACATAATTTAGTAGAAAGAATTAAACTAACAGATCTGTTTCACGCATCCGTTTAGTTTTGAGCATTTGTGGGGCACTCTGAAGACATTCCTACCCAATAACTCCACTCAAGACACTGTATGTATGTTCAGCTGTACTGAGTGATGCAAATGGATTCCATAGAGCCCGAAGATGGACCAAGATAACTGATCTGTCGTGTAAACAAAAGCACATACTAGTATTGAATGTATCAGATCCATTCTTCAGGGAGAGGATAATGAGCCATGATCATAATTTTTCCATCAGAATGTAACACCCATTCCTACATTGTGAGTGACAAATAGAATAGAGTGAGAAAGTAAAAAGATGGTGCTTTACTAGTGTGTGCATGTGCATGTGTGATGGAAAGTGGATATGGAGCCACTGAAAGGAATGGCATTGGTAGATTATTTGTTTTCTTGCTGCTTGCTCAACTATGGACAAATGTCAACATATAATAGTTTTCTGGATTAAAAATAGCTCTACTGTCAGACTCTTTTGACAAACTGTGTGCCATTCCACCTAAGGTCGCAGAGCCATCAACCAGTTATAACTTGAGGATGTACATTTGAAGCATTCTTGATCAATTGCAGATACATGGAATACATCCACTAAAAAAAAGGTTATTGATAACTGAGTTTGTTGACAGAATACAATCAGTCAAGTTTTCTTTGTACAGGTTGATATATGACTAAGAACTGAATGTATTGTACTTGGATTGTTTCTGCACAATTTCAGTTTGCTTACTGGAAAAAGGATTGACCTCAGTACTGATTAATATAGAGCTCTTGTGACCCCAAAATCACATTTTCTGCTGTGTATACAGGCCTGGAGGCAAATAAGATCAGGGTACAAGAAAGAAATGGCAGCGAAATAATACATAAGTCTGCTTAGGCATAAAGTTAAGAAAAATGTACGCTTTTATGCAACCTAACAAGCATCTAGCCCTACAAAGTTGCCCCAGAGATGACCTGAAACAGACATTCTGCTTCACATTATAATAATAACAACAATAATAATGCTATTATACTAAAATTATCAGCAGTCCAGTCAGAAGCACAACAGAGGGTGTGTGTAATATGGTCTCCAATAGGAATTGTAACTAATGGCGCTAAATGGTTTTAATAGTTGCATATGCTTCAAGAGAAATAAACCCAGATATTTATTTATTACATTTTGCAAATACAGTATCTGTAATATTTTGCTGAAATCTGTGAAAAAAATAAAAAATGGAAATATTATGTTTTTGTCATAAGCCAGTCAAAAAGAACAAACAAAATTTGCACTTTTGGGCCCTGTTCATTCTGGACCATTACCTGATCGTAATATAATTCCTGCTAGCAAAAGCTTATAAATATATTAGAAGTTCTACGGTAACTCTGTGAAGTAGTTCATCTGGTATTGGACATGTCATCCCTTTGAAGGCGAAATCTTTCCAAAAAAACTTTACCCAACGGTGTGTTACCAGCACAAATGGAGACTACAAAATATTTTTGGAAATCTAGAAAATATTGCTCAATCATCAAGTGATTTCCAGTAATGTGGAAACAATTTTATTTCACTCAGATACAAATTTGTCTCCACATCGTCATCGACTAGACTTTGTATGTAATTGCGCTACATGTTGTTTTGCAATGAACACACAGTAAAAGAAAATGTCTTTGACTTTGGTCTTGGTCACAGAGCATTGTTTGGGAATATCTTGCATGAATGCAAAAAAGAAATGAAATAAGTCTGTCCAAAGAAGATTCGAACTGCTTTGTGTAGTTTGAAGGACAATATTTGTACCCATATAATGTTGATGAAGCTTCAGTCTAGTGCAAATAAGACTGAACATGGAAGCTAAAGAAAAAACCTTTTGCAACACGTGTCTAAAATGATCTTCCTAGCTAACTGGTTTGCTTT